CTTGGGTTGTTACCAACATCTGGTGAAAATTTCATGTCATTAGCACCTCTAGTAATATATTTACTGAGAAAAATGTTGATGTGTTCAATACTTGTTTTACCCGCCGTTTATATATATATATAAAAAGAAGACGTCTATCCCAGCGAGTCCAGAGAACTTCTCCTGGTCCACTTGTACATGAATCTTAAACTCCTTTGCCTCATTAGTATTTCTGCATTAACCACAGTATTGGACTGATTTAAGCTTCTGCTCACCACAATGCTGCCACTCTCATCTCTGTCTCTTGTCAGCTACACTTCCTGTTATTACTGTTACCAACTCCTCGGAAGAAAAGTAGCTATTAGCTGTCCTAAAAACCACTAAAAGTTGCTAGATTACTTAAGTCTCTAAGTTGGCAACACTACTTGTTATATTTCTAACTCTCACCCTTTCACATTCTCATTAGATGCAGTAGAAACACACACAGCGTGATAGACAAAGCTCTATGCAGACGTTAGGCTGTGAGTCGACCCATACAATGCTGCTGCTCACTGTGCACAAACCTGCTTAAACATCTACAAACTTCAATAACAGTGAACAGCAACCTCAACGCCTGATTAAATCATTTCTTTTTGTACAAATGTTAACTATATTTTAATCTCATTGTGACAACTTTTAATGTTTTTAATAAAATATCTTTAGTAATATTTGTTAACAACCGTATCTCAAAATCAATAGATTGTAAAATTTTTATTTTAAGCTGCACAACAGTCTTAACTAGCACAGTTTAGACAAGCTAAGTAAATAATTTTGTTTGTAGTTCACAGAGCAGAGGGACCAAATCACCACTTTCCAGTTTGTCATTGAAAAGTGATGCATCCAAGTTTCTGCCACCTGTCTTCAGTAATGAAAATCCCCAAAGGTAAACAAAACTATTTATTATGTTTGACATATGTTTATTAGTTATTTTTATACTCCTGACCAATGATGGGACATATTAGCTTTAAATTGAAAACCATTTACCATAGAAATGTCAAACTGCACAGCTGAACACCTAATCGGCCAAAGATGATCCATGTTGATTTCAAGGTCATGGGGTAAAATATCACGTTGTTAAAACTTGACCTTTTACCTATTAGCATAGGTGTGTTTTTTCTGTTCATTCATAAAACAGCCAACAGGAAGTTGTCCAATGTGTATTGCCTCTACCCATKCACCTCATTTGGCCTCCATTGACTGATTGTTGTTTTCAAATTCTCCATCTCAGAATCTTACTAATGATCCATAGTTTGGTGAAATTTGTTCACTTGGCAAAAAKTTAGTTTTGTTTTTACAAAAGTATTGGTTTGAAATGTTGATTTTATTGGTCTGCAGAGACGTTGTTGGGAATTCCAGCCCTGTAGTTAATGAGGAGAATCTCCCAAGATTCACAAATACCAAAATACTATATGAAGAGATTTCACAGTTGCAACAAAAAATATTATCACGTCTTTTTGCTCTGACTCATTTGATTCTGACTCATGTTGTCAGCAACTGAGGGACTGCTTTAACTAACTAAAATAATGCAGTGTTTTGTTGATCTTCCTACAGCCAAAAAACTCTCTGTTCAGCATGCGAAGAAGAGTCGGAAGATCTTGTCCAGTCCTCCTGTGGACACTTGTCATGCAGAGGTTGTATAAATTCAGACTTGAATGAGTCTGAGTCACCATCAAACTACGAGTGCACAAAATGTGGAAAGAAACAAAAAAAATCATCAGGTAAGTTTTGAGTACACTGTATTATTATACAAAACGTTTGCAAGGAATGTATATTTATTTACACAGGGAGGTTGTAGAGGCCACATTGTTCTAATGTTGTTTAGATCATTTCTGTTGCATCCTGTGGAAAGTTTCTACTTTTTGTGTTTTTGTGATCTGGTGCTTTCCCAGAACCTTRCTAACAACAACTGATAGTACTCTGTTAGTTTCAACAAGTTCTTCTTTCACTTTTACAGATGATGACCACYTTTTAAAAGTAAAGAATACCCTGAAAAATGAAATGCGACAGAAATATTCTGTGACGTCTGAAGGTAACGGMGACCAACAAACATCACTGGAAACCRTCTACACAACTCTCTACATCACAGCTCCAGATAGTAAAGGACCAAATGGAGAACATGAGTTCAGRCACCTCAGAAGTAAAGTTACTAAGCAGTTATCAGAATATGACTCAGTAAATCTCAGAGACATCTTCAAATCTTTGTCTGGTGAAGAAAAACCCAACAGAACAGTTATCACCAAAGGRGTGGCTGGCATCGGGAAATCCTTCACTGTGCAGAAATTCTGTCTGGACTGGGCTGAAGAGGAATCAAACAAAGATGTTGATTTTGTTTTCAATCTTCCATTTCGAGTGTTGAATTTGAGTAAAGGTGAGAAGAGCCTACATGATCTGCTGAGTGAGTTCCACCCTGCACTCCGGACTCTGAAAGACTCAGAAGCTTACACTAAAACAAAGATAATACTGATCCTGGATGGTCTGGATGAAAGCAGACTTCAAMTGGACTTCAATAACCTGAAGACAGTGAGGTCTCTGAAGCACATAACATCTGTAGGTAATCTCCTAGTAAACCTGATTCAGGGTCACCTCCTTCCTGAGGCAAAACTCTGGATAACTTCTCGTCCAGCAGCAGCCAATCAGATCCCTGCAGAGTTTATCGACATGGTGACAGAGATAAGAGGGTTCACTGACCCACAGAAGGAGGAATACTTCCGGAGAAGGTTTAGTAAAGACCCAGGTCTCGCTGGCAGAATAACATCCCACATTCAGTCCTCACAGAGTCTGGACATCATGTGCCAGATCCCCATCTTYTGCTGGATCTCTGCCGTCTTGTTTCAGGAGGTCTTTGGAGGCGAGGAAGAGACTGAAACCCCTCAAACTCTGACAGAGATGATGGCTCACTTCCTGTTTGTCCAGACAAAACTCAGGAACAGGAAGTATGAGAAGGAAAAGAAACTCAAAGAGAATCTTTTTCAAACCCACAGAGAGTTTCTTCTGAAACTAGGAAAGCTGGCATTTTTCCACCTTTTGGAAAATAAACTCATCTTCTATAAAGAAGATCTAGAGGATRGTGGCATTGATGTCAAAGAAGCAGCTGTGTCCTCTGGTTTTTGGAACATGGTTCTCAAAGAAGAAGAAGTCTTCTCTCAGAGAAACAYCTTTTTCTTTGTGCATCTGACTCTRCAAGAGTTCTTTGCAGCTCTCTACATCTACGATTGTTTCATAACAAAGACAACAAAAGACCTTGGAAACTTCCTTAATTTGGAGAACAAAGATTTTTCTTTATCTGATCTTCTGAAGAAGACAGTTGACATGGTGTTTGAGAAGAAAAAATTTCACCTGGACTTTTTCTTGCGATTCCTCCTTGGMCTGACGGTTGAATCCAACCGCAGAGTCCTCCAGGGTCTGTTGAGACCACCAGAGCCGGTTGAAGATACAGACAAGAAAATCTTGACTTACCTTAGATCCATCCGAGGAAAGACCTTGTCTCCAGACAGCTGCATCAAYATCTTCCAGACCATGGTTGAAATGAGAGACCACAAAGTGAAGGRTGAGATCCAGGAGTATCTGAAAATGTCTGATCGTTCAAAGACAGAACTGAATCCCCTGCACTGCTCGGCTCTGGCCTATATGCTGCAGGTGTCCAAGGATCAACTGGAAGAGTTGGATCTGAAGAGTTACAACACAACAGATGAGGGCAGGAGGAGGCTGATACCAGCTGTGAGGAGCAGCAAGAAAGCTGTGTAAGTGTTTTATTTGTTTTGAGTCTGTTTTGTTCTTTTAAACCCATGGATGGATGGATAATTGGTTGGTTGGTTTAATGTGGTGGTTGATTGGATGGATGGATAGATGGATGGTTCAATGGATGCATAGATGGATGGAAGAATAGATGTTTGGTATGACAGATGGATGGTTTATTGGGTGGTACAATGGATGGAAAATGACTGTCTGGCTGATTGTTATGATAGATGGATAGATAGTTTGTTGGTTGGTTCAATAGATGGATGGATGCATGGTGGATGTTTGGTTAGTTGATAGGTTGGTTGGTTTGATGAGGTGGTTGATTGGACGGATGGATGGATGGATGGTTGGTTGGTTCATTGGATGGATGGATGGATGGATGGTCAGTTGGTACAATGAATGGATGGATGGTTGGTTGGTAAATGGATGGATGGTTGGTTCAATAGATGGACCGTGGATTGGATGGATGGTTGGATGGTTCATTGGGTGGTATGATGGATGGATAGATGGCTGTCTGGCTGGTTGTTATGATGGATGGATGGTTCATTGGTTGATCAGTTCGATGGATGGATGGATGGATGGATGGATTGAAGGATGGTTGATTGGTACAATGGATAGATGGATGGTTGTGTAGGCTGGTTGGTTGATTGGTTGGTTGGTACAACTGATGGACGGATGGTTGGTTGGTTGGTACAATGGATGGATTGTTGGTTGGTTGGTACAACTGATGGATGGGTGGTTGGTTGGTTGGTACGATGGATGGATAGTTGTTCAGTATGATGGATGGATGGTTGGTTGGTTGGTTGGTTGGTTGATCGGTACAACTGATGGACGGATGGTTGGTTGGTTGGTACAATTGATGGATTGTTGGTTGGTTGGTACAATTGATGGATGGGTGGTTGGTTGGTACAATTGATGGATGGGTGGTTGGTTGGTACAATTGATGGATGCATGGTTGGTTGGTCCAATGGGTGGATGGATGGTTGGTTGGTTGGTCCTGTTGATAAATGGATGGATGGTTGGTTGGTACAATTGATAGATGGATGCTTGGTTGGTTGGTACAATGGATGGTTGGATGTTTGRTTGGTASAATGAACAGTGRATTGGATGGATGGATGGMTGGCTGGYTSRWTMAATRRAYRGWSRRT